CTGGAGAGGGTGTGGAGAAAAGGGAACCTTCCTACACTGCTGTTGGGAATGTAGTTTGGTGCAGCCATTATGGAAAACAGTCTGGAAAAACTAAAAATAGATTAACCATATGACCAGCAATCCCACTCCTGGGTATATATCCAGAGGGAACTCTAATGTGAAAAGATACATGCACCCCAATGTTCATAGCAGCACTATTTACAATAGCCAAGACATGGAAGCAACCTAAATGTCCATCAACAGATGGCTGGATAAAGAAGTTGTGGTATATTTATACAATGGAATACTACTCAGCCATAAAAAAGAATAAGGAATAAGGTAATGCCATTTGCAGCAACATGGATGGACCTAGAGATCATCATACTAAGTGAAGTAAGTCAGAAAGAGAAAGAAAAATACCATATGATATTATTTATATGTGGAGTCTAAGGGAAAAACGAAACCCACACTGAACTCATCTACAAAACAGAAATAGACTTGCAGACATAGCAAACAATTTTATGGTTACCAAGGAAAGGGGATGGGAAGGGACAAATTTGGGAGTTTGAGATTTACAAATATTAGCCACTATATATAAAAATAGTTTTTAAAAACTTTCTTCTATAGAGCACAGGGAACTATGTTCAGTATCTTGTAATAACCTTTAATGAAAAAGAATATGAAAATGAATATATGTATGTATATGCATGACTTTTAAATTTTAAAAAATTTAAAAATAAAAAAATTTAATTTTAAATAAACCAACTTATTGCAGGTAACGAAGACAAGCATGTGTATATGACCAGTCTGCAACAAATAAAAACTGTGACGGACCAAGTGAGGCAAAATGAAGAAAACCTGACACCCCCGCAGCCAGCCAAAAGGATCCAGTTGTCACGACCACCAGGAGCCACGACATGGCGCCCTGCTCCTGATCTGGAGGGACCCCAGGAGCCCACCTTTGACTCAGGAATCCTGAAAGCCATGTCCCAGCAGGACATCCGCGCACAAGTCTTCCTGTGGACCTTTCTGCTGTGGTCTGACACTGTAGAAATGGTCCGGGTGGCCGGGCATCCCAATGTGTACAAGTCAGGCTGGGTCTACCCAGTCTACCTGTTCAGTTTCATTTCTCTTCTTAGAATGATATTCACTTCTCAGAACCCACTTCTGAATTCCCTGGGCATCCTGCTCCAGGATCTGCCCTTTATCTTTGTTAGACTTTGTTTAATCATTGCCCTGGGAACTATCACACCTGTATTGGGCCTTTGTAAAAACGTACTCGTGACTCTCTCTTATGTTTACTTCAATTACTTAACCAAATTCAGGATTTTCTCATCCTTTGAAACGTCTTTTTAAAAAGAGAATGTAATGTAGTCAAACCTCTTTGTGTTGCACATTGCACACGTGTAATCTCTTTTGGGGGCAGGCATAAGTTTTTGTCACTATACAAAGAAATGAATAGATAGTGGAGAAAGAACTGTTTTTTTTAAAAACTGTAGCCGGTCAATTTTTACAATGTATATACATGGTGCTAACTTTAGGCAAAGTTACAGTCTTATAAGTTAGCTTTCCTCGATCTCTAGAAAATGTTAGTAGTTAATTTTAGTTATGTATTCTGCACTTTTTCTAAAAACGCTCTTCAATTGAGCCTTCTAAAAAATAAGAACATGTTTTCCCACTAAGTTAGTCCAAGAATGAGATTGTTTTTATCATTTATATAAAGAGCATTATAAGAATTAATTAGTTAAAATTAATTTTTAAGAAGTATACTTGTAATTATTGAATAATTTTTAGATTCTACTTTTAAAAATTTGAATTGTAGTTTTAGGGTCTCCTTCAAATATGGAATTATGCTCTTTATTCCACTGTGGCAAGTGGCTTTTATGTAATCAATTGATTTCAGCATAGAAAGCAATTTAGTTTAACAGACATTTGGCTCAATTTAATATCATGAAGTCAAGGTACACCCGTAAACTCTAGATAACATTTTATCATAGGAAGCCCTAATTTGAAGAGGGAGATTTCACAGTAAAAGAATATTTTAGTTGTGGAATATTATACCATCATGAAAATAATCAGGAGCAAATCCTGTTTAAACTTAGAAGATCAACTTACTGATCTAACAGCCAATGCATTAGTGTCTTATGTGATACTATACAGTGGTTATCCTGATGTTAAATAATTAGACCCAGAATTATGTAATTTGCTTTCACTATGTTAGGACATTCTCAGGTATTCATAGTGAGGGCTCTTCCTTTTATGTAAATTTTCAGTTGCTAGAAAGAGGCTTGTGCATGCAGGGGAATGTTTTATGTAGCCAATCTTTTCCGTAATCTGTGGTAACAAACAGGATGGATAACTGAACTTGCCTGCCACCCCTTTTCTCCACCAAGTCCCCCAGTCTCACTCCCCTCATATGCTTTATGGTTTCTCCTCACACCACAAAAGAAGGTCTATTCCCAGTTGTTAATAGCTTAACTTCTAGCTTTATGATTTGGGGTAAATTCTTTGACTACTGTAAATCCTAGTTTCCACATCTAAAAGATGAGCATCTTAATAGTACTTTCATAGAGTTACATGGTACTTTCATAGGGGTAAGAGGAGTAAGTGAGCTAGGGAATGTTCTCATTACATTGTCTGACAAACTATAATAACCTGATAAGTGCTAAGTATTTTAATTGTACCAAATCCCTACAGAGAAACAGGTAGCTAAATGCAGTATTTTAATTTTCCTGTTTTATTCTTTTATGTGTCCCTGCCGACACTCTGGGAATAACAGTTTAAACCTTGCAGTTGTGAAAAGTAATATATAAAATCTTAAGGTTACCTCATATATAATTTTCCATCAAGTAGTGTTATGTTCAGAAGTGAGCCATCTACTGAACATATGGATTAAAGCTGATCTAAGTATTCAATCATCAGACACTGGAGTGGCCCTCCCATGAGTTCTCATAGAGCCTTAACTATAGCACTTTTTTAAGACTTTCATTAAGGGTTTACTTTTCTGAGTTCCCCATTCATCTTTAAATTCCTTAAAGAAAGGCCCAAGAATATCGTATTTAACAACGTGTCTTTATCTTCCTGTCATTTCAACAGAAACTTAAAATATTTATAATTCTCAAAAAATTATAATATAAATAATTTTTTAAAGCACACCATGATAATCTTTATTAATAACCTATAACCAAGTAATTGATTTTTAATATTTATAAATATGAAAACACTTTACATACATTTGTTTTTGTCTTTATATTGGAACTTAAAGAGTGAACAGTACTCAGATAAGCTAAAAAGTATTACTTGTTTGAGTTTAGAATGCATTTTGTATCTTATATATTTGAATATGAATATGCCTGATATTTTGGGAAGTCACAACACTTTGTATAAATAATGAAGGCATGTACAAAATTATTAAGTATCTAATTTAATTTAATAGTTTATTTTAAGAGTCTGCACATGTTTATAAAGTTCAAGCCTATGGTACTTAATTGGCATTGCAGCAAATTATGCTAATGGAACATTGGAGTTCTACACTGTGGGATTAAAAAGTATATTATTAAAATTATATTGCACTTCTCATAGCTTCTAATGGTTCTTGTTCTTAAAACTCATGTAACTTTTGTGTTCTTATAAAAAGTTACAAGTTTAACTTTACATATAGATGAAAAATAAATGGATGAAGAAAAATATACCATGCTAACACTAATCAAAAGAAAGCAGAGGTAGTTATATTAATTTCAGACAGAAACAGACTTCAAAGAAAGGAAATTTTTCAAGGATTAAGAAAGGGATCATTACATAATAATAAAGGAGTCAATTCTCTAAGGAACATAACAATCCTTAATGTGTATGCACCTAATAACACAGCATCACACTACATTAGACAAAAACTAATCGAACTGCAAGGGGAAACAGGTGAAGCCACTATGACAGTTGGAAATTTCAACACCCCTCTCTCAGAAGTGGACAGTCCCAGCAGGCAGGAAGTCAGTAAAGACATAGTTGAACTCAACAACACTGTCAATCAATTGGGTACAATTGACACCCATAGTCTCCTTCGTCTGACAACAGCAGAATACATATTCTCCTCAAGCTCATAAGGAACACTGACGCAGATAAACCACATTCTGGGGCATAAAACACAATTTAACAAAGTTAAAAAAATAAAAATAATATGCTGTCTGTTCTCGTAACATAATGGTATTAAATTAGAAATCAGTAAATGAAAGATAATAGAAAAAATCCCCAATTACATGGAGATGAAATAACACTTCTAAAACACATGGGTCAAAGAAGAAATATCAAGCAAAATTAAGATATATTTTGGGGTAAATAAAAATGAAAACAAAACTTACCAAAATGTATGGGTTGTAGCAAAGGCAGTGTTTAGAGGGAAACATACCACTGAATGTATATATTAGAAAAGAAAGACCTATAGTCGATAAATTAAGCATCCACCCTGGGAAACTAGAAAAAGAAGAGCAAATCAAATCTCATGTAAGGTGCAGAAAAGAAATGAAAAGAATTGGAGCAGAAATCAGTGAAGTTGAAAACAGGAAATCAAGAAAGGAAATCAGCAAAACCAAAAGCTGGTTCTTCAAAAAGATCAATAAAATTGACATGGGTCTAGCCAGGCAAACTAAAAAAAAAAAAAAAAAAGAAGAGAGAGAGAGAGAGAGAAGACACAAATTAGTAATATCAGAAATTAAAGAGAGGATATCTATCACCATAGATCTCAATGAAATTTAAAAAATAACAAATGAATACTATGAACAGTTCTATATCCACAAATTAAATAACCTAGATGAAACAGATCAATTCCATGAAAGAAACAATTTGTCGAAGCTCACACAGGAAGAAATAGATAATCTGATCAGGCCTATGCATATTAAAGAAATTGAATCAATAATTAATAACCTTCCAAAACAGAAAAGACCAGGTACAAATGGGGTCACTGGTGAATTCTACGTAATATTTAAGGAAGAAATTACATCAATTCTTTGCAGTCTCTTTTCAGAGCATAAAAGAGGAGAGAATACTAACTCATTCCAAGAGGTCAGCATTACCCTAATTCTAAAATCAAATACATTACAAGAAAACTACAGACCAGTATCTCTCATGGACACTGATGCAAAAATCTAAATGGAAAACACAAATGATCTTAGCTATTGTAAATAGTGCTGCTACGAACAGTGAGGTGCATGTATCTTTTCAGGGTAAAGATTTCTCTGGATGTCTGCCCTGGAGTGGGATGGCTGGATCATATGGTAACTCTAGTTTTTAAAGGAAACGTCACACTGTTCTCCATAGTGGCTGCTCCAAATTACATTCCCACCAACAGTGCAAAGGGTTCCCTTTTCCCCACACCCTCTCCAGCATTGATCATTTGTGAACTTTTTAATGATGGCCATTCTGACCTGTGGGAGGTGATACCTCATTGTAGTTTGGATTTGCATTTCTCTGATAATTAGCAATGTTGAGCATCTTTCCATGTGCCTATTGGCCTATCTGTCTTCTCAATGCCAAAATTTTTTATTGCTGTAAGATAATTATCTTCTATTAAATTGCAAATGCATTATTGATGTTTTGACATATCTTGATAAGGACTGGAAAATGTGAGGAATAAGAACATAAAGAAACCTAGTTTCTATTTGTTTGGGTTTTTTTTTCTCTTCTCTCTCTTTTTTTTTTCTTTTCTTTCTCTCTCTCTTTTTTTCTATTGGACGTACTGGGGATTGAATCCAAGACCTTAAGCATGCTAAGGATGCACAATACCACTGAGCTATACCCTTTCCCATTAATTTTCTGTTTTTTTTTTTAATTTTAAGTTTTAACTTAACTGCATCATTGTATCTTCGTCCTTCTGAATCAATTATCTTGATACAGTTTGAGCAAATTTGCCCATTAAAAGAGAGAGAAAACAAACTTCTGAATCCATCACCAGTTTTCACTATGAGAAATGATAGAACAGGTTACCAAAGAATTTTTTAAGTTAATTTTCTTGGAACTGTTTCAGAACAAAGGAGTCACTAAGTTCATCTTACATGAAACTGAGTGGGTGTGAGGAACGTGATGTTTGAGAAAAAGTCTAAGAGGAAATGAAATAGTTCAGCAATTGTCCTACCAATTAAAAAAATGAGGGTTTTCTTTTTTATAAAATCCTTCTTTAGCTTAAAGGAAGTGCTTGTTAAAAATAACCACCATCATCCATAGCTAAGCAAAAACCAGAACTGAAACTTAGTTGAAGAGTATAAGAGAATGCCAAGAGTTGGATTTTATTTTAATGTAAAATATACACAACAAAATTTACCATTTTAACCATTTTTCATGTACAATTCAGTGGCTTCAAGTATATTCACAATGTGGTGCAACTATGACCACTATTTCAGAATTTTGTGTCATCCCAAACAGAAACTCTGAACCCACTAAACAATGATACTCATTCTCCCCTCCCCCACCAGACTCTGGTAACCTCTGTTCTCCGTGTCACTAAGAATTGCCTATTCTATGTACATCATATAAGTGGAATTATACAACATTTGTCTTTTTGTGTCTGTATTATTTCAGGATTGTGCATGTTGTAGCAGGTGTCAGAATTCCTTTTTATAGCTGAATAATATTCCACTGTGTACACATACGATATTTTGCATATCCATTCATCTGCTAATAGACCCGTGTGTTGCTTTTACCTTTTGGCTATGCATAATGCTGCTATGAACACTCATGTACAAATATTTGTCTAAGTCTCTGTTTTCAATTCTTCTGAGTCTATACCTAGAAGTGGAATTGCTGGATCATATGGCAATTCAATGTTTAACTTTTTGAGAACTTGCCAAACTGTCTTCCACAGTGGCTGTACCATATTACATTCCCACCTGCATTGCACAAAGGTCCCACTTTTTTCATATCCTCATCAATGCTTGTTATTTTGTTAGTTAGTTTGTTTGTTTTGATAAAAGCCATCCTAATGGGTGTACAGTGATGTACTATTGTGGTTTTGTTTGCACTGTTCTAATGATAGAGACGTTGAGCATCTTTTCACATGTTTATTGGCTGTATATCTTCTTTGGAGAAATGTCTATTCAAGTCCTTTGCCCATTTTAAAAATTAGTTGCTTTGCTGTTGTTGCTGCTGTTGAGTTGTACTTTTGTATATATTCTAGATATTAATTCCTTATCAGGTATATTATTTGCAACTATTTTCT